ATGGACTTCAAACTTGCATTGAAGGGAATAGCAGTTCTAATCATTTGAAATGACCACTAGTAGACTAAGCCACCAACTAAATAAATATTTGTCATTATTTATAAAGTGCTTTTTATAAGCACCAAAGAATCATTTGTGCATGTAGCATTTCAAATTATGTAATAAAGAATTAAAATATTTACAGTTCTGAAAATGTAAAATTAAATAAACATGAATAAAGCAGCCACAAACCAAACTACAGAAAATGTACACATATACAAATGTGGACACACACACACACACACACACACACACACACACACATTGACATACACAAACTCCTCTCTAATTTCCTCTGTATAAAACTCTTTCCAGTTCAGCTTCCAAGATTTCTCCCCAGGTATCCACATCCATAGGATACATACATTTCTCTGGTAAATTACTCCATGACTGAATATTGCTATATTTTCCACTCAGCCATTCATACTTTACTTTGCTTTTCCAATAGTTTCTATGAAGCGTGACCTGATAAAAGCAATTAGAGAATAGGAAAGAGATATAAATAAAGGTACAAAACATATTCTTATGGATAAAAAGCCTTATTTTGCAAGCAATTCTATAATTAGTGGGGGGGGGGGAATCAATTCATCTTCGTAAAAGATGGCTTCAAGCCAGATTATTCCAATTTTTCACATGTGAGATTAAGAATTTTACATGAGATTAAGAATAATTTCACTATGTGAAAATTCTGTAAACTCTTTTCATTAGAAAAGACATATCTAATCCTATCATATAGTTTTTGTGTTTGAATTGCAAGTCTTTTGAAACCAATATTTTAAGGATGATTTATTCTAGGGGAAAAATTAGAATAGACTTCTAATGTATTGCTGCCCACTAGTGATCCATGGAAATTATTACATACTAGAAGATTCAGAGCTTAAACCATTAATGTTACAACCAATTATGTTTACTGAATATTTTTATATATATAAAAAGAAAAAGTAAGTGGAAGTGGATTAGATTAAAGAAATGGAGAGTCAGATGAAGAGCTTCATTCTTTTTCTTCTGGACCTAATCACATCACCAGCCAAAAGGTCTTTCCCCCTTTTTTTATATCACAGTACATATTCATTATATTTAATTACATCCATGCAACCTTGACAGCGGATTCTGCTAGGCCTTTTATTACATACCTTGAGACCCTTAGGAAAATACTGTTACATTTTGATAGTAAAATGACAGTTTTAGACATTGCAATTTGTCACTGTCGATTTAAGATATACTGTAAAATGGATATGTTAAATAGTTATATGGATCTTTGATCTATAGTGGTTGCCAATTGCTTACTAGACATAATTTAAGGTGCAAAATCTTAAAAGCAATCGCTTACAGAAATATATCGTCTTCTGTCATCTTTCTTTCTAGTTTTGTCAAAAAATAAGGTAAGTAACATAGTCTTAAATTACAGATCAACCTGTCAAGTAAAAACCCTAAACTGTGCCAAAAGATTTAGTGCATGAGATATCAGATCTGGATATAAGAGATCATAATATAATCAAGCCTCAATTAAACTTACCTTCCATGAGTACTCTTTTCCTCTGTCATCATCAACCTCTCGCTGACAGACAGCTCTTATATTTAAACAGTGGTGTTTCCATAAATCATCACAATGTTCAATGGTTTGGTTCCAGCTCTTGCAAGTTACTGCAGCATTGCATAAGCTGTGAATGTCAAGTTTGCTAAAAATCTTTAAGCTGACTTCTAGTGGAAATAGTTTCACAAAATCCCCTTGACTGTTGTGTTTCTTCTGTTTGGAAAATTTAAAGAATAATTTCTTACAAGTAGTTGTTGCAACAGTCTGCTGGTTTTGTTTGGATGATTTCTGTTTAGATCCTTTTTTCATAGTTTAGACTTTGTTTAAATACCAGTCAGCCTTTCTGAAAAGAAAAGTATCAGAAATGAAACTGTAATCAACTGTTTAGAAACATTTGCTGCCACTTAATGTCATTAAAACACGATTTCTGCCTAATATCAGTGCTAAAATATCTCTCTGTATATAGTGACCATGAGCACAATAATTTTGGGAATTTTGGCTTTAATATTACTGCTTAATTGTTTCCTCTGAATGATACCTTGCCTTTCTTAAGGAACATACAGTATAGATATGTGAGTGTATGCGTGTGTCCATACAGGCAGACATATTTTTTCTATTCAGTTAAAGTGGAGCATCTTGAAGTGATACACTAACTGAAAAGTAGCAATTATCAAGAGACAAGTTTTCCAATTTGAGTCAAAGGAAATAATTGCTCTCAGATTTTTGCACATACAATACATGCATCCGCCATATGAAACAATTAAATTTACTGTATTGCTTCAGTGTGAATATGAACCTGGAAAAAAGGGCAGGCTACAAATCTAATATATATTATTACTTTATTAATATACATTACTTTAATATGCATTATTAATACATTATTACTATTTATTACTAATACGCATTATTATGACTCTATTCAGTTTCAACTTACATTTGTTTGTTGCTTGAAAGCTGGACAAAAGTTTCTATAATTGTTTTGACAGCCAGGCCTGAGGAGCTGTCCACTTGAAAGGAAGCTATTCCTCTGAGTAGCGTGGAACACAATCTCACTGGCAGACAATAAGGGCCACTTAGGATGATTGGTTTACCTGAAGGTAAGGATACATTCATGGTCTACCCATCTATCAAACGTGTATATATAGTTATTAATTGGTTAATTTTACATCCTGACTTTTCTTCCAGAACTGAAGAAAGGAAAAATAAAGATCCCCATGGTTACATGGTGATCTTTATTTTTTCACAAGAACCTTGTAAGGTAGGCTGGGTTAAGACCAATTGGCCCCAAGCAACTGGCAGAGAATAGATTTGCAATTGGGTCTCCCAAGACAAGTTTCACACTCCATTGTAAGTCAATGGTCCTACATTATGACTGTAGACAAGACCTGAAAAAGTGATGAGTCATGATCAGAATCTAAAGATATATGACAGAATAGTATAGATGGGATAGGTGGTGTCTACATATTTATATATATAAAAACCCTGTTTTTCAATAACTATCATTCTTAAAGTTTTGAAAGTTCATAGTTTTAAATGACTTCTGCTTCCTACATAAAGCTCACAGCCTGACAAGCATGGTTTGATTTCTTCTGCTACTGTACCTTGACAAATTTGGCAGGGTGGTTGGGAGGAAAATTTAAGTGATGCTGTCAATGATCTTGAGCCATTCTTCTAAAAAAAAGAGAGACAGACTTTGCCCATCAACTAGCTAAAATACTTCTTTTTATTTCCTCACAAAAATGCCCCTTAAGGCTTTTGCAGCAAGATGGTGAAAGGGGGAAAACCCACAAAAGCCTGGAATGTCTGGTGGGGCTGATACTGTGTTGTAACCTGGTATTTCAACATGGGGGGGGGGGCAGAATGTATGAGTACAGGAACATGGCAAGAGGGGCTGATTTAGTAATAAGCTAAGAAGCTGAAGGTTTTATATAAATGTAAATAAGTTTCACCTGACAACAAAAGAATTAGCAGTTGTTTTGCACAGTCACCCAAATAAGCAGTCCTTTAATATTAAATGTAATATGAAATGAAAATATTAAAGATGTAAGTACTGGAGTACTTGACTACTGCTTCCCTAGGATTTAAAATTGGGCGGCTTTAAATCATTTGGGGGGGGGGCTCAATGCAAAGCAATTAGCAATGTAAACTTCATAATTTAAATGGATCAAAAACTATGTTTCTCTCTTCAGGAATTAGTGACTTTGAATAGAGTCTTGAGGATTTTTTCCAGAATATTTTTTTAAAGTATTGAACCTTACTAGTCATCAAACTTGCATACATCTCAAATAAAAATTCCATACATTGAATTAGAATAAAAAATACAATCAAATTAAACACACTAATTAGCTCCCTCCTGAAATATGTAGAGTTTTTTATTTGCACAATTGCAGCTGGGATGTAATAAAAATTGAATATATATGTAGCTTAAGGATGAACTGTGGAGTCCTTAGTGCTCCCAGAAGTTTTGTTGTTCACAGGATGGGTTGTTTTTGTGGGTGCATATACATGTTAGGAATGGCAAACTTTAAAGAGACTATTTGTAGTTCAGGATTGAAATGATGCTTGATGCTCTCTGAGCTTGTTTTCTTGCAGACGTTTCATTACCCAAAGTAGGTAACATCATCGATGCTGGTTCGTTGAGCAATGAAACGTCTGCAAGAAACAACCAAGCTCAGAGAGCACCAAGAATCCCTCATTTCAACACTGAGCTACAAATATTTTCCTTTATTGGATGGAGAGATTGCACATCTGTTCTCAAGCAGGTTTGGGGAAATTTTGGTGTTCCAGAAACCCCAATAACCTCAGCCAGTTGGAGAGGAAGTATTTTGGTAACATTTGGGGGGTCACGGGGTTGGACTTGAAATTGTCACTTTTAAAAGTTAGATAAATGTAATTCTATATCAATATCTGTTTTGCAATTCATATTCTATAAAACATCTTCTGTTTTCTTAAGGAGCACCAAGGACCCCCTCATGGCGAACTTTGCATATTATGACGGGACACTTGTGCACTTTCCACATCAGCACTATCTAATTTTACGAAACTGAAAGGAATTCGCCTGAGAATGTACGTCAACATACTTCCACAACCTCCTCGAGCCACCTTTTTTCCCTATGACAGCTAAAAACCCTTGCCGCCGCTATTTAACTGCCCCGCTCCGCCCTGTTCGGTGATTGGATGGAATCGCGACGTCACCGAGGAACGCAGGAGGCTCGAGGCCACTCACCTGGCTCCCGGCCCTCCGTTCCCGCTAACGGTTTTAACGGCTTCTCCATTCGAATTTGTTTTTTTGTTTTTGTTTTACTTTTTTGTTGTTGTTCCTTCCCCATTACAAATTACGTAACTAGAGGTTCCCGAACCACCCGCCTTTGCCGATAAGCATTTCGGGAGCTGTAGTTTAGTGGCGAGGCAGGAATTTCCGTAGTGGCGTAGTGGCGCGGTAATGGGTGTGTTTCTCTTAAAAGGCAGCGAGCTATTGGTTACACCGGAATGGTATGCTTCCGTTCAAGCAGATAGGAGGGATATATACAAGAAGGGACGGTACGTTGCTGTGTTTACTTCCCCCTTGTGGAATCTTGCATGGGGGGTGGGGGAGGAATGCGAGAGGCCTGTTACCATTTTGGGGTTTCAATTAGTGCCAGTGGACGGGGGTTGCCCTTTGCCGCTCGGGGAGACAGTGATAGGAAGAGGTTCATTTTTGGGAGGAAGCGCCTCAGCGGCGCACCAAAGGAGTGCCGGTTTGTCTAAATATTTGTGTAATTGGTTGAAAGGACCAACGGCACTGGCAGCGAGTTCGCGATCAACCCATTTTTGGGCCAATGAAGGGGAGAGAGAGATATTTCCTTTACATTGAATCAGACCGTCCGGTCGCGAAGTTTCCTTCCTTCCAAGACGGCTCTTTGCCCAAACAAATTTGGGTACTTTTTAACCTTGATGGAGGCTATTCAAGATTTTTGGCGTGCTTTTACCGAATCTGTTACAGCGTCCTTTACCTGGTCATGCATTCAAAGCAACTTGCTGGACCAATGAGCCCGCCCCATCAGTCTATTAGGGCTTGTCTTTTTCAAAAGCTTGGTGAATTGAAACCATTAAATCGATAAGATTTAATGGACTTCGTTTGCAAGCTAACAAGAAAAAAAACACACGTAAAGGTGGAAAAGCTAAAAGAAGCAATGTTGCTTGGTTGCTTGCATACCTAAGAGTATGGTTAGAGGACTAGATCATTGCACCAGACCTTATATGCACATTGTAATTTATATGTTGAATACACACATTTTATCCCCATTGAGTAGGGCAATGCTCTTAGAGCATCTGATAACTTTAGTGTAGCTTGTATTGTGGTTTGGTTGATATTAGAAGAGTTATTTGGGATTCCAACTTGAGCTGGGTTTTGATTGAGGTGCTCCTGCCCAAGGCTTTGATCCTGAGGTCATTTAAAAATTGGAAAGGAAAATTGCCCTCAGATATGTAGTTTCCTTTCTGGATAAAGATATATTATGAGAGAATATGATTTCTTCCTTTATCTTGAGAGGATTACATAGCACTTGGTTGCAAAATGCAAGCCCTGGATCCAGTAGCAGTTCAGCCATAAAGTTTGCTGGAGGTTCACCAGTTGGTAGCCATCTTTTAAGTCTAATGTCTAAGGAGCAAGAAGTAAAGATTCTAGAGCTGAATGTAAATACTCTTCCCAGAAATCTCTGGTGCTATGCAAATACAACCGGTGACTCTGCTCCTAGGTGCCTACTTTGCTCCACTTTACAAAATCTCAGTTTTTGTGAACTAGGGGGCCAGCAACCTCTGGTGCTATGCAAATGCACCCAGTGACACTGTTTTTATAGTAATTTTATTAAAGTGTATAATTGCAACAGTAAAAACTAATTCGAAAGAAAAAAAAAGAAAAATTAGTGTAGATAATAAAAAAGGGAAAATAGAAGAAAAATAGAAAAACCATGTATGTAGCAAAGAAAAAGTATACAAGTAGTGTCCTTTCAAAACTTGAGACTGGATTTGAGCCTAGAGTTTTGAACCAGCATGAGACCCCTACTATCTTGTCTCCTTGTGAGGAACAGCAGTCTGAAGTATTAACCAGAGTTCTCAAGACACTTGCCGCCTCTTCATTCCACTGAAGTCATCATTTTCAGTCCATCATTTCTTCAAGCCTTTTGTTTCATTCTCTTTGAATTTGTACTTTCTAATTTGCAGATTACAGTTTACTTTCAGTAGTTGAAAGAAGACTCATACTGATAATAAGCTGTGTGTTTGAGTACATATATTGTATTTTCCACTAGAGGTCACAATATGCAAGTTGTGTAGGAATCTCTGTCCCACAATTAATTGTACTTCTTTAAGTACATATTTTGTATTATAATTAAGTATTATAACATACTTGAAATTATAATTATGTTCACTGTTTTCTTTTTAGTTTAATAATGGTTTTTCCAGTTACTTAGATCTGTGTAAATCTAAGTGGATGACTACAATAAAAGAAACAAGACAATTCATTACACCATATTTTTGTGTTCAGATTTTATGGATCACAATTGAAATCATTTAGGAGTAATGTCGTTTCATGCTTGTATTTTGATCCATTAGCCATGATGTTGTATAAATGGACCAAAAAAGGACAAGGCTTCTGTATCTTTAATAGGAGTGCACAAATGAATTTACTTAAATATTGTTTGCATGATTATACATATCTTCTGAAGCTCCCATTCTGTATTGCTGTTAAGGTGGAAGAGCTCTGTCTTTAGTTTTTCACTATTTTATAGTGAATATAGATTTAGAAAGTAAATGGAGGTGGGGGTTTTTTTCCCCTTTCTCTCTGTCTTAATATGAATATATATTTAAATTAGCTCTTTTCTTAATTCGATATCTTAATTGATATTTGGCATGAGTTGCTATGCATATTTTACTGTTTGTAAAAGGATGAACAGAATGTTTACAGGTAACAGTATTTTCATAGGTAAAACTAAAGAATTTCTCTTTGAAAGAGATAGCTTATTTATACAATACTTTTCCCATCCTATTCTCTGCTGCAAAGTAATTGAACTGTCTATTTCCAGGTTACAGAAAAAAAAGTTTCCAGGAAGCATATGCTATTCTGAAAATAGTTGGTGACCAGCTTAGCATCAAACCGGTGGGTAGTGTTTGCTGTTTTTCCATGTAAAATTAAAAGAAAAATCTAAGTTTTGTACAACTTATTCTAATATTGAATACCTCTTTCATTTTTAGTCTTACATTGAAATAGGTTAAAATGGTAGAATTCAATATATATATATTTATATATAGATATTCAGGATTAAAAAATAGAAAATACTTTTTCAGAATATACTTTTAAATCTGTTTTGTATTTAATAACTAAAATACAATCTGAATGTAAGTAATCCCTGATTTGGTTCACATGTTGCAAGCCATTGGTTGTTCAGAAGGCTTGAATCAGTCAGAGATAGAATGCAACCATATGTTGCTCTCCTGTTATCACATCATTTCTGCAAATATATTTTCTGAAGCTCACACATTGATACAATATTGTGCCAACCCAGGAAAAACTATGTTTCCTTTAAAGAGCTGCAAACAGGTACCGAAAAAAATATCTGCACTGGATCTAAAGCACATTTATTTATTTTATTCTTTTAGTTCACATACTATAATTACCAACAGGCTGGCCAATTATATTTGCACCTACCATGATATAACACCTGAGCCTAACTTTTATTTAAGAATCAATTACTACTACTGTTAAAGGAGCTACATATTTTTCTAGGCTTACATAGTTGAAAAGAGAAATGGCTATTGAAATGAACAACAGAGAGGGGCAGTGATGTGTTTCAAAATACAATCAGCCATTACTTCAAATTTCTCTTTTCATTTCCTAAGGATTTAGTGAATATATTTGTGAGGTAGGATTGAAAGAACAGCTATTTATCTTCAGTAATCCAATAGTCTAGTTTCCTTGTTTCCATTGTAGCATGGGCACTCATGGTGGGTGAAAAACATTTATATTTGTGTCATGATGTCATCAGGAAAATGTTCTGGTTTGCATAAATGTTCTGGTTTTTGTTATATAATAGTGCCATTTGTGCAAAATAATCATTTGACATCACCATGGCTTATGATAATTATTGTTCAGCTCCCCACAAGGGAGCTGAACTTCTCTGTAGTGGCATTTGTCAGAAATGTAAATTGATGGAAATACCTCATGCAAGGAATTTCTTGATCCTGTACTAGTAAACCTTATTTGTGGTCTGAATGCAATTAATATATAACAAGCATTTTCTCACTGTAGTTTAAAATAATTATCTCCCAGAATAAACTGCATTATAATGGAATCAGTGCACATTAATTAAGTCTATTAAGTCCTACCAGGTCTTCACTGATAATCTATACTAAGAGTCTTCTTAATTGGCAGGTCCATGTGAATCCTTGTTTTTATTGGCCTGTTGAAGATGACCAACTATTTCCATTGGACAGAGATAAGTGGCATCAATTGTGTTCAGGTGACAGTTTTTCTCTGTTGGTAGACAAATACACCTTCAAGCTTCTTTGTACTCCACTGGAAAAGGAAAATCTGCTAAGGTAATGAGATTTGATGTTGAAAATATGTCAGTAAGTTTCAGTGTCAAATTGCCTCTTACAATGTACTCTATGCAGTATGTTAAATGAGTCAAATTAAGTTTGACTCATTATAGTAAGTGGTAGCTAAGTAAATTATGCTATTTTTCTCAGGTTAGCTGTAATTGCAGGTATTATTCCTTCTCCACAAAAAAATTAAGATGAATCCTGTAACAATTGTACATGTGCAAAGTGTAATTAGAGAGTTTGATACCTATATATACAAATTATACATATAAATATACTAATATTTTAAATATTTGATCTTGTTAGATAATTAAAACATCTTTTTTTTTCAAAATAACAAAAAGTAATGAAAATTGTAATGACAGAGTTCAAGGACAACACTACAGCAAACTTTTTTTAAATAAATTGTTATTGGTTTTTAAAACAAACAAACAAAACATAAAAACATCAAATCATCTTCCATATATGTACACACAGTGTGCCGGTTGGTTTACAAACTGTTTTGTGCTTCCATTTCATAGTCTTCAATTATAATTACATTGTATATAATCTCGTATTTTCAATCAATATATTAAATACATTAATATCATTATTAATCAATCATTTGACTATACTTTTATTTATTCATGTTTTCCAAAATGATCATATTTTACTTAATTTGTTTTATGACAATTCAGATTATCATCCCAGATCTATCCTAGAATCATTTTGTAGATATAATAAGAAAAGAATACATCTTTATATATTTATTATTTTCTAAAAGTCTGCATATTTCATTACTATATTTTATTGTCTAACCATTGATAGAATAGATCCCAAATTTTATAAAATTGTTTATCATCTTGTTCTCTAATTTCAAATGTCAATCTACTCATTTCAGCACATTCCAATATTTTCTTAATGATTTCCTCCTGTGATAGTATTTTCTCATTTTTCCAGTTTTTAGCAAATACAATCCTAGCCACTGTTAATACATTTACAATCAGGTATTTCAAGTCTTTACTATATATTTTAGGTAAAATTCCCAATAAAAATATTTCTGGTTTCAAATCTATATGCTTTTTTGTCATTTTTTCCAATCACGTGTGGATTTTAGTCCAGTATTTTTTAGCATCCGCACAAGTCCACCACATATGGTAATATGAGCCAGGTATCTGATGACATTTCCAACATTTTTTGGATTTATTCTTGAACATTCTTGCTATTCTTGTTGGGGGAAAATGCCACCTGTAAAATAATATAATGCCACCTTTCCCCTGACAAGAATAGCAAGAATGTTCAAGAATAAATCCGACTACAGCAAACTTCTGTGTAGTATTTCAGAGCAAAAGATTTTTTTTTTGGTCAGAAGTTCATTCCAGATGTAGAATGAAGTAGGAACATTAACTTTACTAAAATAGCAGGGAGTAAATACCTTAAATTTATAGGGCATTAAATTAATAGTATTTAATAATAAAATACTTAATAATAATGTCTTTATTGATTAGCCCTTGGGCCATATCAAAGTGCAAAGTTCCAGCAACAATTTGTTACTAAAATTTAATAAAAGCAATTCAAAATTTAATTTAATAAAATACTATTTAAAATGGAACTTGATAAAATACAATTTAAAATGGAATCTAGACAAAATACGATTTAAGATGAAATAGTAATAAAATATAATCCAAAATAAAATTGTAATAATGTACAATAATTTAAGATATGGATAAAATATAATAACATTATATTTCAGAGTCGCCCTTGCAATCTACCCCAATCAATCCCATATATGCAGATCTCAACTGAATCATTTTGTTTAAATACTGTGCTACTTTAAATGTTATTTTCAAGTTCTGGCCGGACATAAGGTAAGTTATTTTGATATGGGTATCCCAATGGGTCATTCGTCTGATATATAGACCAAGATACCTGTCTCTCATCCTCTTATACAGGCAACAATCAGATAGGATGTGAGCCAGGTCCTCTACCTCTGCCGCTCCGCAAATGCAGAGACACTCATTGTATGTTATTGCATGAAATCTCCTGTATCTAACCATTCTGTCAAGCTGTTCAAATCTCGCTCTCGTGAATATCTCCCTAAGATGTTTTGGGAGTTGTGACTTCAAGTAGCTATCTACTTGGAAAGTACATTTGTATTTACTCAACCATTTCAAGTTACCTACCTTACTAAGGATAGCGATATCAGTTTGTGCATCTATATCCTCAATTCTTTGGGCAACTCTTTTTTTAAGATTGTTCTCCTGTTACACAAGAGATAGGAAGACCACAGCTTCTTACAAAATTTGTTAGTTTAATGATCCAGGAGGTCTATAATTGTAGTTTTATTTGCTCTAGTAGGCATAATTTGGGTAGTCTATTTCCTTTTCTGAGACTGGTGGCCAAGGGGGGAAGTTCTAGGGTTTATTAAATCACTATTTAAAGATAATTTCTTTACCAGTTCGGTGGAGGCAAACAAGCACTGATAATAATTCTCCCAATCCTCAGCAGAGATTGGTTTGTCAAATGCAAATCTCCGTTCCTTCAGGATACCTGCTACAGAATGCCAAAATAATACTGAGTTATGACTTCTGGCAGCCAACTCAAGTTCTGACCAGATTGAAATGGCAAAACTTTTTTTCTTTCATGTTATAGTTTTTTTATATTCCCTTCTTGTGTGCAACATCTTAGCTTGTATATAGGCAGTAGGGTTCCTCTGGGCAAGCCTTATGGCTGCCTTCAATTTCTTTTTCAGTCGCTGGCAATCCGAATCAAACCAGCGAGGTCTACCTACTTGGGCTCTTTTTGTAGCAGGTTTAGTTGTTAGATGTTTCTTCAGTATGTTACAAAGATTGGAGAATGCATTGTAGGCTGACATCCAGTCAGTAGTAGATGACTGGATTGTTCTAGCCCACTTAATAGCATTCTCTGTTTTAAGACATTCTAATATTGCCTTAGTATCAACCTTAGCCCAAATTAACGTTTTATTTTGGGTCACTTCTACCTTTTTAGTAAGCTATCTGTCAGCCATGTTATATGGTCTTAAAATCTGAGCGGCCTCGCAATGTCACACTTATAGGCTGATGTTCATTGTTGTTGCTAAGGTGTACTGTGACCTCCGAAAAGAGGTCAACCTTATCTCTAGACACACAAAAGAGATCCAGTACACTACTTGAATTAGTTGAGTGGTATGTATAAGGGTATATGTAATTCTTATCTCCCAAAATTTGGAGATTACCCTTAAAAATCAAGGAGACTAGGAGCAAACCAGCGGCATTACTTTTACAATCTCACGAGAGCCACTGAGGATGGTTTTCAGAGAACTCCCCTGGGATTCCCTTCTTCTGGGCAAGCTCATACAAAGAAGGACCCAGTCTAGCATTCAGATCTCTTAATAAAACCACTATTGACTGTGAGGATACAGTATTGCTATATCTTCTAGGATAACTTCCAAGCACATCCAATATTCGGAATTATAATGCTGGGATGTGCTTGGGGGAATATACACATTTACCAATATTAACTCAGACTGGTCATATTCAAATTTAACAGCCAGAAAGTACGGATACTTATCTTCGTTATATAATTTCTCTCCCTGCCTCTTGCTTTATAAGAATGCATAGTCTACCAGAGGGTCTCCCTTTGTGTTTTGAGCTGGGGAGGCCCATCCCTGAAAGCCTGGCAGTTGTACTGGTTCGTCCACTTCGGTTTGCCAAGTTTCTTGAAGGGCTATTACGTCAAATCTAGAGAAAAAGCTCATTAGTCCACTATCAACTGTCCCTTTCCAGACTGCTATATTCCAGGTCACCAACTGTATGGGGTTCTCAGAAGCAAGATGATCTGGCTTGGTTAATTGGCTGGATGGTAAAGATGTCAGATGTCAACTTGACATTGGAGCCAGATCAATATCATCTAAGCTTCCCCTATAAACACAATTGTTGTGAGGTTCAATATTTCCCCTCATGGGTTGCAGAACTTGTTGTTGCTCCTCTATATCTCGGTTGCCAGTATGCCTTTGCTCTTGCTCCAAGAATGATTTTTTCCCCCAATGGGCAGGTACTCTGGTTTAAATCTATAAATGTAGATTTATGTCCATTTTTGGAGTGGCATAGCTAAGGATTCATCTTGTGGTAAGCTGTTATGGGAGCTTCTAAATCATTTGAAGATGGATGCTGGATTATCTCCTTAGTGATTGTCAGCTTAGGGGGCACTGTGTGATGAAGCTCTTTGTCTTTCACTTGTTTCTCAGAGGTTGGGTCAGTCAGTGCAGTTACCCCACAGTCAACCTGCGTGACAGTACTTTATTTTACTGTTAAGGTAGAGGCAGTTTGTTGATTAAATACATTGTCACAAGATTGGTGGTTAGTAGAGCCAAATTAAATAGAGGCTTTGTTGTAGATTGAGTTGTTGTTAATGCCTCTTTTAGGTCATCCAATCTTTGAATGATGTTAACTTGCTCAGGTTCTGACAATGCACTGAATAAGTCAATCAATGTTTCCTCTGGGACATCCTCAGCAGTTCCTACAGCTGTGGGTAACACAGTTTGTATATTGCTTTTTTGCCTTCTTGGGGTCAGTTCAGTTGCAGCAGCCTCAGGTTTAGCAATGTGAGAGCTGTTGCAACCTAGATTTTTTAAAATAAATTTTTATTGATTTTACAATTAAAACAGACCAACCACACATACATAAATGTAAGAGAGAAAAAGAAAAGAAGAAAGGAAGAAGAAAATAGAAAGAAAAAGATAGAAAACAATTAAAAAGCAACTTAGATTTAAAGCAACAGTTTCCACTTGGTGATGCTGTTTCAGGAGTAGGTACACTTTTTCTGTGCAAAAAACCCTTATTGGAAATATTGACAAGGTGCTCAGAAAGGGCTTCATTCTGAAAAGCATGGGAGGGTATTGTGGGTTGCTTGAACGATAGGAGAATTCTCATACATTGCATTCTTGCTGGCAGCCACTCTGCATGTAGTAAATCTATCAGGGTGAGCTCACAACGGAGCAGCTGGCTCAGGGACAGCCTAATAGCTTTTCTATTACTCCAACACCCTCTATTTACTCTCTTGTCATAAATTTGCAAGGTAACCAACCTGGTTAGTTTGCAGACTGTAGTGTTGGTCATCTCTTAGGCCTATGCCTGATTGAGTGTTTTCTCTATGTGTGGTTAAATTTTTGGGAGGAAAACGAGGTCCTTCGCTAGTTTCATTTTCTGAGTTAGCCGTTCCATATCTATCCATGGTTATCCTCCCAAGTCCTTCTACAGTATTTGAGTGGCTCCTAACAAACGTTGCAAAAGATTCTTTCAGACAATCGACCTTATTTATGACAATTGACAAAAGATCATATATTGAGTTTACAGTTTGAGCTGTAAGCAAACATTGTCTAGAGAGGAAGTCTGTCACATTTTCCTTCTTTAAATTTGTTACATCTCCCCCCTGCGCAAAGAAGGCTGCTGCTGGGCTCCAAGAACAGGAGCCACCCTCCGAGAGGGAGGAGGACAGCTCTACACACTGCTGATCTTCCGGTTAGGTTTGTAAGTCTCTAATGAATCACATAAATTAAGTTTGTCTGACAAGGTGCCTGTGAATGAGTTACTCACTGGAACAGACTGTCTGTTTGCAATATAATCTTCTATTTTCTGCTGCTTCAAAGGCTTGGATAAACACTCTGCTGCAGAGTGCTGTCTCTTCCTCCTTTTCCCCATTTTTAGTTATTTTTCTCCTGTCTATTTGTATTTGTTTTGTACTTAAAAAAAAGAAAAGATATTGTAGCACTTGTGTACCATGCCTATTATCATGGGAAAACTACCAGAAGTTTATATAGCATATAGATTCATTACATTGTATTGTACAAATTCTTTAAAAGGTGTTCTTTGGAAAAGGCAGAAGCAAATATGAAGCAAATCCTCCATTGTTATAGTTTCCTGGCTTCCATAGCTGTTTTGAAGCAACTTCCAGCTGTCCCTCTATGCATGGAGAACCACTTTGTTGAACAGCAACAATGGGATCAGCTTTCCATGCAACAAACTAGCCTGGAAAAAGATACAGTTCTTTTAAGCAACAAACTAGCCTGGAAAAAGATACAGTTCTTTTAAGAGTAAAGAAAAAAGCTTCTTGTAGATGCTGCTTTTGATTCCAAGACACTTATTTTGAAAGATTTGCACATTTGTTTAATGCACATTTTCCCATAATTCATATTAGGATATCATCAATTTTGGGCAACTTCAAAAAAAAAAATTAGGCACACAAAAAAAATGCCTTCCTTCAGTTCCTTCAGTTCCACTTGGTGGCGTCATAATGTTTAATGTTTAAGACATGGGTTTGCATTCATCTATCGTTTAAAAAGTAGAATGGAATATGCTGTAGGTACTGAAATTAGGCTGTGTCAAATATTTAAATGTTTTAGGATGCATCCAGGACTGCCCTGATGTCTGGTAAAATGATTGAATTTGTTTATTTCTCCAATCTATGTTGGTGAGTTAGGGCTGCCATTTTTTTCCAGCCTTAAATGGAGGCAATGGCAAATCCCTTCTGAAATCTTGCAAAGAATATTGTAGGGACTAGTCACTAGATACAAAAATTGACCTGAAGGCGCAAAATAAAAAGGGTTAAAACAAAACAACTGCAGCAACAATAAGAAACAATAAAAATAATTCCACTGAAATAATTTGAGTCTCAAATCATAAATTTGGGTGGAATTTTATATTTTAAATTATTCATTTCTTCTACTAAGTAATGTGTAGCAATTTGTGTCAATCCACTGCTATTGAGAGGTTTATTTTATGCAATAGGGAAAATGATAATTTCGGTGTAGAAGACCTTCCAGATCAAATCCCACAACTCTGCAGTCTACTATAAGATCTCACAATCAGGTTTCAGAAAAATCAACAATCCCTTCTAGCAAAAAACAACTTCCAGAAGTACATTCACTTATGGAAAAAACAAACGAAATTCCAGAGAAGGTAATTTTCAATTTTGGTGTACTGCAATTTTATTAATAGAAAAGCTAAATGAATTTTAAGATGAAGATGCTTTTTACATATAATAAGAAATATAGAAATATATAGAAAATCTATTGTCAGAGAGGCTGTTGTGGCAGGGCTAGGCCAGTAGAGTAAACCAGGGATCCCCAACTCCCAGACCGCAGCCCACTACTGGGCTTTGGCTGATTCGGAACCAGGCCATGTGAGTGGCAGGCGAATACACGTGTGTAGCTCCGCTTGCGGGAGCAGCAGGCGCTTGCATACAAAGCTCCATTTGTGCCTGCCACTCGCACAGAACCATTCCCTCTCCCCCCTCCTGGCTGGGCTGACAAGCCGGAAAGGTTGGGGACCCCTCGGTTAAAATGTAGATCTCGATCTACTATCCAGGCATTACTTGCTTTGGCCTGTCATCCTATGCCTTTACGTGATATAGATTCAAATCCAGACAAATGAATGTGAATTCTGTCTGGATTACTAGTTTAAATCTTGTGATCATGGGTGGCATCTCAAGAGAAGTGTTTTGGATGAAGTTATTTCTGTCATATAAAGAGTGTGATTTAGGTTAGGTTAGGTTGAAAGTTGAAAGAGTTAGGTTGAAAGTATATCTCTTTACTGTGAATGGAATAGTCTTTGTTGAACTTGCTGGGATTTTTTAGAAGTCTTTATTGGGGCTGGAGAATAAAAGCAACATGGGTAGGGAGCAGTATGGTATTAAGAGAGGGGAACTTTGTTCTTAACAGAGTTATGGCATGCACTTATGAAATAGCAATAGCACTTAGACTTATATACCGCTTTATAGTGCTTTACAGCCCTCTCTAAGCAGTTTACAGAGTCAGCCTATTGCCCCCAACAATTTGGGTCCTCATTTTACCCATCTCGGAAGGATGGAAGGCTGAGTCAACATTGAGCCTGGTGGGATTTGAACTGCCAAATTGTAGGCAGCTGGCTGCAGAAGTAGTTTGCAGTACTGCACTCTAACCACTGCGCCACAGAGGCTCCTTATGAATTGTCTAACAAGGGATATTTTCTCCTCTCCCCTCCCCTCCCCTCCCGAGAGCCAGTTTGGTCTAGGGGTTAAGGCTCCAGGCTAGAAAGTGGGAGACTATGAATTCAAAAGTCCCACCATAATCATGAAAGCCAACTGGATGACTTTGGGCTAGTCACAGTCCAGCTCAACTTGCAGGGTGATTGTTGTGGAGAAAACAGGAAGAGGATGGTGTAATAAATACGTTCACCACACTTTTAGATGTGTTACTTGTAAAAATAAGAAAGGCAGGATACAAAAAAAATGACTCTTGGTAGGTTGCCTACTCTGAATCAAGAACAATACTCAGTAAAAACAGAGAAACAGATCGCAGTCATCTAGAAGAGAACAGAAACCAAATCAAACAAGAACAATAACCAGTAGCCCTCAATTTATGATCACAATTGAATTTTGATTGTAAGCCGAGTCATCGAGTCATCACGTAACCAGACTCAGTTTTATAACTATTTGTACAATGGTCATTGAGTTACTATGGTCATTTAGCAAATGTTTTGCTTAATGTCCATGGCAAAACTGCACAAACCATGATCACATGACTATGTGATGCTGCAACTAATAAATGTCAGGCAGCTGCAAAATACTTGACTTGCTATCATATGATTGTAGGAGTGATGCAGCAATTGTAATTTCAAGGATGGATTGTAAATAACTTTATTTGAGTCATCATAACTTTGAATGGTTGTTAAGCAACTGATTGTGAGTCAAGGATTATCTGTACTCTACTTCAGGGCCAGGGAGAACAGTTAGGTTTTCAGGGACTTTCAGAACATCCATACATGAGTTGACTAGGGCATGATACAGTTGCATAAATATAGGACTATAAGGTATATTGTAACAATATTATGGCAATTATGGAAAAAGATAACCATTGATCTCATGTGCATTTTTCTTTTTTAACCTCTGTGCAAAATATATAATAATATAATTCCTTTTTTTTTAAGTTTACTGTTCCTAAAAAAGAAGAGTTGAGGCCTGCTCAGCGAAAAAGACAGCTTCCAGAATGGATGGTGCCAGCAGATCTAATGGTTTCAACTCAGTCAACTTCAGCCTCTAAAAATGGTAAGCGTGGAGACATATTTGCTATGCAAGTCATCATAGCAGTTGGCTTTCCTAAATTCTCCTTTTGGAGTTTGGAATAATAGAATTTCATTTACTTTTGCTTGAGATTAGACTCTGTGTCAACTTGAGATATGTAGTGAAGTTAGATCAGATAAGACCAGCATAATCAGGATTTTGTACTATGTTGATTATAAAACATTATTGCTTACAAATATAGGACCAACTAACTATATTTCTAATTTTTTTTGTTTTCCCAAATTTTATTCTATTGTACTTTACTAATTTATTTGATTCTTTTTGTTAGTTTTTATTGTTTTGTTTTAAATATGGTTTTACATTGTGTAAACCGCCTCGAGTCGCCATGGGCAAATAGTCGGCAATATAAATTAAATAAATAAATAAAATAAATAAATAAGTAATGAGGTGGTAATCAGACAGGTGATAATCCAAAACTAAAACTGCACTTTTTTTTGCTTTGAATGGAGCCAATATATTTTCCACATTTTTTAGCTTTTATTATAAACCAAGGAGAATGGTTCTGAACATTTGTAATAAAGAGTTAAAATGAGTATGCACTAGTCAGTAATATTTTTTTTAAAGAAATAAATCTCTGACTTTATGAAGAAGACTGGGAGAAGTTTGTCATTAGGGTACAGTAAAGTGTAATTTCTTCATTCAAACATGCTCTTTGAGTAACTATAGACATACTGCTGAAAATTGTATCTGTTACAATGATGAATGCTTTTTTAATACATGTAAATATTGGTGGAGTAGCGTAACCTATAACAGTATTTCTCTACCTCAACAATTTTAAAATATGTGGACTTTTTAATTCTCAGAATTCCCTAGCCAGCATGAGATACACTGATCTGTAACATATACATATTGTTATACATATAGCTATTACATACATATAGACATATAACTATATTATGTGTATATATGTGTGCATGTTTACACATGTTTACACATGCACACACACACACACCAATATATACACATAGTTATAGTTATATGTCTCTCTATATGTAATAGTTATATCACCTATACTACACATTGATTTTTGGATTCTTCGACAAAACATTGTTTTGTGCAGACTGAGAAGCATTACATTACATTTCATCTCATATTAGAAATATTCAGTTTTGCACAGTATTTTACAAATCATTAGAATTGGTCTTAAACAGAATTTTGATACATTGTAATTTACTATTTTTAAAACAAGACAATATGAAATCTTTCTAATATGTGCAGTTTTTCATAGCTTAGATTATAAAATTGTTCTGTTCAACAGTGTTTATTTTATTTTTTAAAATTCAAAATAGGCAATAATGAAGAAGTAAATCCAGGTATAAGTAAAAAGCAGAAAATTCTTGAAAGTGAAGATTCTGCCCTTCTAAAAGAGGTATTCCTTTCTATTTTTTCAATTAATGCTTCATATTATTAATATACTGGGTTTTGCTATTTTGTTCATGGAAATGCATAATACTTATAAGGAAGAACCTTATCAGTAAAGAAGCAGTTATCAAATATCAGGACCAAGAGGGTGGTTTGCTACAGTCCAAATGGTTCATCTTGTTTTCTATTTCCGAAGCATATAATAGCCAATTCATTTATTTCAAGCATGTTTCTATTTTCTTCCATCTGATGTTTTGTGCTAGTTTTTTTTCTCATGAAAGTCACTGATTGCTTTTCATGCTATTAGAAAAGTAAAAAATGAGATACATTTAGATACAAGCAGACTCTGGTTTTTTATTCTAATGCTAGTGATCTCAATGGAAAGGATTAGTGAAAAGGGCTGATGGACCATTGCCCTAGTATCACTGAGAATAGCATCCCATTTCATTTCATATATCTGGTCATTATATTCTTGCAAATACTAGTCCTTAGTGAAGCTGAGAGTTACAAGAATGCTTTTGGTTTTAGGAAGTCAATTACTTTTTTACTTACATTTGACTTACTTTTAGGCAGGAAAAATCAAAGGTACAGATTAGGTGAGACCTGGCTCAGAAACAGTAACTGTGAGAGGGACCTTGGAATCCTAGTGGATGATCATTTGAATATGAACAAGTAGTGTTCAGCCGCCGCCTAAAAAGCTAATACAATCCTGGATTGTATAAACCGGGGCATAGACTCAAGATCACATGAAGTATTAGTGCACTTTACCCTAGTAAGACCACACTGGAATACTGCAACCAATATTGGTCACCATACTACAAAAAAGATGTTGAGACTGTGGAAAAAGTTCAGAAAAGGGCAACTAAGATGATCAAAGGCCTGGAGATTAAACCATATGAAAAATGACTGCAGATTTTGGGTCTGGTTAGTCTAAAGAAAAGAAGAATTAGGGGGTGACATGATAGAAGTATTTCAGTATTTGAGGGGCTGCCACAAAGAAGACGGGGTCAAATTATCTAAAGCACCAGAGGGCAAGACAAGAAATAATGGTTGGATACTGATCAAAGAGAGAAGCATGGAATTAAGGAGAAACTTCTTAACAGTAAAGGCAATTAATCAGTGGAACAGTTTGCCTTCAGAAATCATGGGTGCTCTATCACTTGAGGTTTTAAGAGACTGGATAGTCACTTGTCTGATATTGTATAGGTTTCTCCTGCTTGAGCAGGGGGCTGGACTAGAAGACCTCCAAGGTCCCTTCCAGATTCTATTCTGTTCTGTACTGTCCAAATGTCATAGTTCTCATGGCTCTATGATGCAGACATATGTCTGAGTGGTCAAGTAATTTTTGTTATTATTGCTTTGATAATTTAAGGTTAAAATAGTGTCATGAAGTCTACCTTTATAAAATATACTACCCTTAATAAGATTTATATCCAAATGGTGCCATTTTGGTGATACCTTTTTGGTAACTGGACCCAAGAAAAGCATCTCAGTTGAGAAGGGAATTTGAGAACCACATTTCCCTCAAAGTGGCAAGTCCACATTAATTTTAATAGTTCTGCAGTGCAGATAAGAGAGTCCTCATTTAAGGATTGCCACATTTTCAGTTCTTACTACTATCTAGTTACGAGGGCGCACTTTGGGTTGTATATTTTTCAGCACATATTAGAAACATGTATGGCCGATATTGGAACTTTAAATGTCCAAAATTTTGTTAGCTAGTGGGAATTATTCTTGAAATTATTTTTGCGTATTGCTAATTAGGCACTCCATTGACTTCCCTTTTCTGTTTGTTCCTTGAACTAAATTCTGTTTGTGACTACTCTCTTCTATCCAAATTCATTTTTTAATCTCAATTTCCAGATCTTACTGTCAAAATCAGTCTCCTTTCTCATAATTCACACTATTTTGCTCAGGTTTATGATTTTACCATCTTGTTTTTTGGGGGGAGGGTGTTTGCTAATTTTCAACTTTCTTTTAATTCCTACATTTTTCCTTAATATTGTTATCCTTTATTCTCTAGCATTCATTGTCCTCATAATTGTTTTTCTTTGTGTACGTAAGATCCATGAAGCAGAGACCTGTCTAATTTTATTATGTCATGATTAATTAATCTATCTTAGTTAAACTATTTTCACTTAAATAACAGTAAATTATAATCTGTTTCATGAACAATTTCATACCAATTTCCACATGATATAGGGGGTATTTACTAAAGATGTTGCGAAGAAGATGCCAAAGAATGGAAATAAAAAAATATCTCAGAAAGCTGAAAGTTCATTTGAGCAATTTAACAATCAGCTGGATGATGAAGAGCTGGACCTGGACCTCAAGTCAGATGGACAAGCATCTCAGCCTGCTCAAGTACATTCAACAAATACAAAAGAAAACAATTTGGAGAATATTAACTCTAAACCCAGGCAGATTTATAAGGAGAAGCCATCACAATCATTACTCGATCAGGGTGATATTCAAGAGACTACTCTGAACCAGGCTGTTGGAATAGATACGTCCAATATAATGGAAAGTCAAGAGATGCAACAGAGTTCTCACATAAACAAACCCCAGAGGACTGCTTGCCAGTATGGGAAAAGCTGCTACAGGTAAAATCAAGTTGTTAAACTTCTAAATGGAAATTTACTGGTGCATAACCATATAATCTGTGGACAGGGGGGTTCTTTTTATTTTATTTATATTTAAAATCTAAGCTGTTAACAGAATGTATTTTGCTTCTGTTAAATACTTTGCTGAGTTAATGCAAAAATAACTGTATAGCATTTAGACTTATTTATCGCTCCAAAGTGCTCTCTGAGTGGTTCACAAATGTCAGCATATTGCCTCCAACAATCTGAGCCCTTATTTTATCAACCTTGGAAAGATGGGAGGATGAGTCAACTTTGAGCCGGTCAGGATTCAACTTCTGGCTGTGGGCATATACTACACTGTAACCCTTGTGCCACCAGGGCTCCTATAAGGCACTAACAGTCGTACAGCTTGGGAGTTTGTTTGGCATGCTTCCATTTGTTTCCGTTGAGTAATGCTGTTCACCTTCTCACATTTTTAAAACAGGTATTTAAGTTCTTTTAAAATAATAATAATAATAATAATAATAATAATAATAATAATAATAATAA